AGGAAACACTAAAAATCCATTCAAAGCATGGAATGAAGGCACTGTCAAAAGTGTGAATATTTCTGATAATAAACTATGGGGGATGCAGACCAGGGCATCGGGGACGCCCTGGGACGGTGCGCCGCTGGAGCGAGGCACTTGCACGGCGGCGCACCGGCGGCGTCCCTGAAAGGAGCGCCAAATTGGCGCTCCTTTCAGAAGTCAGGGAAAGTGTGCCCTAAATGCATAGGGCGCACTTTCCCTGACTTTTCCGCCGCAGCATGTGAGGACGCTGTGACGGGAGGTTGCCCTGGGAGCGCCGGCCGTGCGGAGGGCCAGCAGCTCCGAGGGCAACCTCGGGAGGAGGAAGGGGCGCCGCTTGTGCGGCTGCCCCTCCTCTTCCCTGCCTCCAAGACGACTTCATTAGTCGTCTGCCGAGGCTGTATGATGCATAAATGAAGTATGAAGCATTCTTATCTACTGAAATTAAATCTCATGAGATTGCAAACTTGGAAGGGATGAAGAAGAAGTCTGAGCTGTTACCTCTGACATAAATCTAGGGGGGAAAAATTATCATCATTGCTGTCGTCATCTTCATCTACATCCCACCTTTTCCTCAAAATGAGGAATGAAGGCAGTTTACAAATTATTAAAACCAATACAATTGAAAAACAAATAAAATCATTTAAAAACTTTACATTAAAAAACTGAAGACAATTTTAGGTCATCTTGCTAAACCAGTATAAAATTACATGAAACATCAAAAAATTAGAAAACATAACTAGAACACACACCCAGTATAAAAACCTCGCTGACAAAGATTATATTTTAAATAACATGAGTGGTGAAAATCCCATTCCCTAGTTAAGAACTTCAGAAAAAAAAAATAGATGTAAGAGGCTGAAAAAAGTTTCCATGAGACTTCATTAACCAACCATTGATACTAGATCTAGATTCCAAAATATAAAAGAAACCAAAATTGGTGGGAAATGACAAGGCAGGCAATTTGGGAGCATAAATACTCCAAAAAACTATTTGGAGTACTTCAGACTAGACACCAGATATTGTCTAGTCTTAGAAGCTAAGCAGGATCATGCCTGGTTGGTGCTTGGAAGGGAAATGGCCATGGAATGCCAGGTGTTATATGTTATATTCGCAGGAAAGCAATAAGCAACATCTCCTGAATAAACCTCATCAAGAAAAGTCTATTATAGGCTTGCTATAATTTGGTGTCAACTTGAAGGCATATAATGACCACAAAGACAACCATTGCCTAATGCACCATTTTTCACTTTTTCAAAGTTTCCCTTTTCTACTTGGTGAAACAATCAAAGAAAATAAAGGAAAGACTTGATAATGCAATCCATCTTTTTGGGATGCCTGTGCAGAGAGGAAGGGATGTTCTGTTCATCATCAGGGTTAATATAGATCTGTAGCAATTGTGTCTTCTGTCTGTCAAGGAAACTGGATGGACTGAATAGCTTGAGACCATGTGTTAATTTCATGGGCAATGTTGCACAAATGGGATAGATTCTTTGTGGGTGATCTACAAAGGAGATGGGCCCTTTCCAAATCCATTCTTTCCAATTTCTTTTCACAACAGAGCAGAACTACTGTGTGAATCTCCCCCCCCCCCTTCCACTATAGTTATCAGTCCCAGGACTTCTACAAACAATGTATTGCCAATTAATTTTGACCTTTTTGGGAAACAAAATATATCAAGCAAATGGAAAATGAATTCCATTTCTGTAGGGTGGCCAAAATATAGAACAGTTCCAGCTGTTCTAGCTATTTAAGAAAAAAAAATGAGGGGAGGAATTCCAGTAAAAGATGGTCTGGGAAAAGAATAAACAAGGAGCCTGGGGCTGAATGTTGTAGTCAAATGAATTGAGAAATAGCTGAATTTCCACTTCCTTCCTCCTCCAATGAAAATAATTTTTCTGGGAAATAACAATTATTTGATAACAAGAGACTAAAAGAGAAGATTGGCCCACAACCTCCCAGTGAGTAATGGTGGTTAAGCCTTTTACAAGATTTTTTTTTTTTTGCAAGTTTGCCAAAATAAGTAAGAGAAATTAAGGTATTGCCCCTGCAAATAAGAATTCTGTCCTTCTCATTAAATGTTGCTTCTGTCTCCAAATTTCTAGCATTGCAATAACTTAAAACTTCAGTTGAGCATTTCGAGATGCAATTTAGACACCCAGAAAAAAAAAAAGGCAGGCAAAAGAACCAGGGGAATGTGAATGTAGCAAATAGAAAGAGTCCCAGATGCAAACAAATGTTTATGTCTCACTCTTTACAATGCTAGAAATTTGGAGACTGAAGGAAAAGTTCACTAGGGGGCAGGATTTTTATTTGGGGAAAATGCTTTCATCCCTTCGTAGCTATATCCCTCATCATGGCTCTATATCTACATTCAGTTTATGGTCATGATATAATTCTTCACTAATTTTCTTCTCAAAGGAAACAATGAGTAATTCTAGCAGATTTCTTCCTACTTTTGAAGAAAGTCTTCAAAAACCATGCAATTTTTCATAGTCTATTTGCAATTCACGGCTTCTTCTGTGCGAAATTTGCACATGGTTGTTTTATGCATGACAAGAAATGCATAAAATAGCAAACTGCACCAAATTTCTGCACAGAAATCAATATTTCTGTGCAGAAATATTAGCCTCTAAGCAGAGAATGATCTTTTCTACAAAAACCAAAAAACTAATGCAATTTTTGATCAGACAAAGTCCCAAACTGTAAAGTTTCTCATCAGTCCAGGATTCTTATCAGAGTTTCTAAACACTCAAACACATGTTTGACATTATATATATATATATTCAAATAATCTTTCCTTCCTTAGTTTTTATAGGCCATCCTATAATCATAGTGTCAAGGCAAAGTTTTTTCCTTTCATTAAGATCTTATGTTAACAAACACAGTATAAAATTCTCTCCATTTGTACAAGTATTATTCCCGTATTGTAATGCTAAATAGATGATGATGATGATGATGATGATGATGATGATGATGATGATGATGGGCTCCATGTAACATCATGACTACAGAGGAAAAAACTGGGGGGGGGAGGTTTTGGCAGGAGTCTGAATTTTTTTCTAAAATAAAGCAAGAAATTGTTCATTAGGAATGTCTGTCTAAATTGAATGCTTACAGAATAGCACCTGAGTCAGCCAACTTGAGTAGGTTTCTAACTGAAATTCAAGAATCAAAGGGAATTGTGTTGTTGTTGTTGTTGTTGTTGTTGTTGTTGCGTGTCTTCATTTCTGACTGATGGCAACTCAAAGGCCTATCATGGGGTTTTCTTGGCAAGTTTCTTCAGAGGTAGTTTGCCATGGCTATCCTCTGAGAGAGTGTGATATGCCCAAGGTCACCCAGTGGGGTTCCATGGCTGAGCAGGGATTTGAACTCTGGTCTCCAGAGACTACACACAAAAGGTCATTGCTCTACAACTTCCAGTTAAGTAAATACATTTGGGTTGTCTATGGCTTGGTGGGATCACCATCTCTCTACACATTCATATGTGTAGAGATCATGCTAAAGGTGTTTGCTTACTTTCCTTTCACTTTATGATACAGAAATAATCTTATTTGGGTAACAGACCAATTGCACCAACATGATGCCATCCTTCAAGTGCCATGTTTCATTCATTCTTCATCAGTAGATGTCCTTTGGGGGAAAGGCATTAGCTTCCTTGTTTTCACACAGCTTTTTCTCCCACTTTGAAAAGTTATCTTAGTGTAAGTCTACAACTCATGGGTTATCTTAGTGTAAGTCTACAACTCATTATGTATATATAATGGCATTGTTTGTTATGCAAATGTAGAGCAATAGAAGGGGGGCTTTATTTAAAACATTCTCCTGCCCCTCCATCTATTTTTTTGTTACAGTTCAAGGGGGTCTTTGTTTGGTGCATGTTATTAAGCCCAGTCTTTCCTGAGTTCAGAAGTTTGGGGAGGATTCAGAAATAGCTTCTGTGAAGAGGAAAGCCTGTGGAAGCCACTCCATTACTCCGCAACCTAATCGGATGGGCCACGCAAAGGTCATGGAGCTTGGAATTAATTAATACGGGTAGCACAATCTTGAAATCTCTCTACTGTTATGCAACAAAGATCATCCAAAAGCTCTTTTACAGACTTTAAGAAAGTCGCCTTTGTTCGAGTGGTGGATTGAAAGTGACTCTGTTACCTCCTTTTACATGCAGGCGTATTAGATAACCCACTCAATACAATGTTTAAGTAACATTAGTATTATGTTATAGGGCCTCGCAAATAAAAGGATGTTTAAAATTAAGCCTGACATTCCATCCACAACTCTTGCTACCTTTCTGTTACATCACACCTCAGACACAACACTGAGCTAACCCTCTCACCGGCTCACAGCACCGAGATGCAAAGAGATTCATTTCAGCCCTCTGCATTTATGTTCCCTTATCCTTCCCCATGAGAACCAGTACGGTGTAGTGACTTAAGCATTGGACTATGACTCTGGAGAGCAGAATTTGATCCCTTGCTTGGTCATGGAAAACCACTGGGTGACCTTGGGTGAATCACACACTCTAAGCCCCATAAAACCCTATGATAGGTTTGCGTTAGGGTCACCATAAGTCAGAAATGACTTGAAGGCACACAACAGCACTCTTCCAACTCTAGGATTCTATGAATCCTTTCCATGATAGCAAGTGGAGTGTGGTGGTTTTGTGCATTGGGCTATGACTCTGGAGATCAGGGTTTGAATCCCCACTCAGCCATGGGAGCCCATTGGGTGAACTTAAGGAAATCACATTTTCTCAGCCTCAGAGGGAGGCAAAGACAAAAGTTTCTCAGCTATATATATATATATTTAAATGATCTGTTAGGTTCATAGAGTTCCTAGCATTTCATCAGACCCTCTCAATGTGTTGTATGTATTTTGGCAGTGGTGGTTGTACATGCGTTCAAGTTGTTTCCAATTTATGGTAATTCTAAGGCAAACCTATCAGTGTGACTTGCCAAAGGTTACCGAATGGGTTTCCATGGCTGAGCAGGGAACTGAACCCTGGTGTCTGGAGTCATCATCCAATGCTCAAACCACTATACTACATTGGCTCTTTGTACTATACTGTATTTACTTTTTGCAGATGATGATGATTATTCCTCAAATTGAAAATATATATATATATATTGCAGTTAATGATTTTATCAATAGGACGAGTTGATTTGTCATTGAGGCTGAGGTAAAATACAATAATCTTTTTAATACCTGTGATTTCTTCCCCCTTTATGCTTGGATTCATTATATGTTTTGATTCCATTTTATTCAGTTCTATTGTTAACTGAATCCCATTTTTGCAAAGAAAGGGGAGTTGCAGACTGGCAGAAATAGTGCAAATTGAGTCCACTTTTAGGGTTAGAGTTAGGGTTAGGGAATCATGGGGACTGTATTTTATTGTGGCACCAGAGCTCTCTGACAGAGAAGGCTCAATGTCTCAGAAAAAAAACAACAACAATTCCCATGATTCTCTAGCACTAACCCTAACCCTAAAAGTGGACTCAATTTGCACTATTTCTGCCAGTCTGCAAACCCACAAAGTTGGGATTTATGATTATGATTATCATCATCATTTTATTATTATTATTTTAAAAATCCTAACTAGGAAAGTCTAGTGATGATATTGAAGTTCATATGAAATAACAGGATCATGGGGGGGGGGGGAAGCATCATATATTTTAAAAACTAACCCTTTCACCTGCTTTCCGGCTACAGGGGAACAAGTGAGTGTCCATTGGGCAGCAGGGGCATTATTGTTTTTTTCTCTTCCATCTCCTTTATATTTTAAAAAAGACATAAATCAAAAGATTACCAAAGTGGTCAGATTTTTCCAAGGCAAGAAAGTTCACATTTTAAACTCAACCTTACTAAAATATATAACTACAGATGCTTAGTAATGGATGAGATAAAGGAGAAGTTTGTGGGATGCCAAAATCAGTACTGAATCTTGGCATCCATGAAGGTTTTTCTGTACTGGATTGCACAATCATTTGTGAAACACTCCTACAAGATGGTCTCCTTCCTTTCTTCTTGCTTTGCTCCATGCCCAACCCAGTATGGTTTGCTTTCTGTCTTCCAATATGCAGATTGAGCAAGGTTGTGTTTGGATTTGCTTGTGAAGAGGGCTTCAACCAACACAAAGGACTTATCAATAGCATGGGACTGTCTTTGACAGCTGGTTGTGCTTCTCTTTCTGGGAACTGGGAAGGGGGGGAGGAGGTATTGCAGAGAAGACAGGGTTCACTATCAGGCATTTGGTTACAAAAAATACAATGCTGTGTTTGTGTGTGTGAAAGAGAGGGAAAGGAGGAGGGAGGGAGGCTATATTTTCACATGTAGGGTTAATATATTTATGTGAGTGGGGAGAAAAAGATATATCAGTGCAACCTGTTCCTTAAAAAAGTAGTACACAGATCCTACCCCACTCCTTTGCCCCCTCTAGCTGCCAAGAGAACAAGGCTCCACTTGATCGCCTTGATAAATCCATCATGTTTGCATGCTTATAATTAGATTAGCAGCTGCTGTAAGTCTGGGCACTGGAATGTTTCTGTTTATTAGAAGGAATTGTTTCCTTGAAATGGTGAAGTGACGGTTTCAATGCCTTGTCCGCATACGCGTGGAATCCGCCATGCAAGCCGGCGTGACTTTAGGCATGACCAAAAGAGAGAAAGAAAAAGAGGAATCAGTAATGGGTATATGATTCTCAAATCGAGTCGAACTGATAAAAATCAGGGTGGCTGTCAGCTGTGCAAATTGAGAGCTGGGAGCAAATGCCTGGAATTGTAGAAGGAGAGGTGGATTTTGCTAGCGAGGTGCTCCCCCTACTGCTAAGTCAACTGAAGAAACTTTGAGCAGGCCTTGCTTTTCTGTTTTGGTATAAATCAGGCCATGTCACTTCATGCATCAGGTTTCCTTCATCTTATCCACTGATTTTTATTATGGCAAAAGATCATAACCCACCTGTAGGATGCATGTTTTACATGCAAAAAGGTGCAGATTCTTCCAAGAAGTGTAAGAAAGATATTAACACTCATCCTTCTCATGGGGGTAAAATTGAGTGACTGGGGGGAGGGATATTCACAAGATGAAATTAATCCAGGATGAATTTGTGTTGAATTGCTCTTGATTCAGATTTTTTTTTGTTGGGGGGGGCTGCCAAAAAACCCCACTTAACCTAGGATAATTGTTTCCTACTTAAAACCCACTTAACCCAGGATAATACTGGGTCTTTTCCCGAGTTTTTAAAAAAGATTCATATTGCCAGCAGTGTGAATAACCAGCACGAATAGACCTGGATTAAACTCTGTTTGCCTTGCCAATGCTATTCTATAATGTGAATAACAAACATGAAAAGCACTAGTGAGGTTATTTGCATTCTTCCGCTACAAAAAATGACATGTGAATGACTCCTTTATCCATGTTAGTCTGAAAAATCAGACTTTCTATCATGGCTCCCTTATAAGGCACAAGCAGGTCTATCTGTAGTCCATAGACATTAATTTGACCAAAGCAAGTTTCTGTGGACCACAACTGTTGTTTCAATGAAGGAATGTTATTCTCTATGGCAAGGAGAGAAATCCCCAACAAAACAGCCCATATTCCTCAGACTGGCAGGAGATAGACTTGACAATTGGGAAAGGTCCAAGCCTATTTTAGCACAGCACTATGGATTGTGTGGATTAATCTTCAGTAAACCTTTGGAATGCTCAGGGATCATTTGACAGGTCACTCCAGTGCAGGCAGTTTAGAAGGGCATTAATAGAGGTACTATAAATATTTATTTAACAAGACGTATCATGAATAACCCATGTGGATGCAGACTCTTCCTTGAGAGCATATTATTGCCATCCATCCTCCTGCAGAGAAAGAAAGAGGGGAAAATACTCAGCTTATTCCTTTGACAGTCATGGTGAAGTATAAGTCGAAAAACAGATAAATAAGAACTAACTGCTTAAGGCCATCTTGCAGTTCCTCCTAGATTTTGCACATCTTTTTAGCTCTCTTTCATAAAGTAATTAGTCAAGAATATTGGAACTGGACCTGCTAGGTTAGGACTATACCAGGAATGGTGTAGTGGTTTGAGTGTTGGAGTATGACTCTGGAGACCAAGGTTGGAATCCCCACTCATCCATGAAACCCACTGGGGGGTGACCTTGAGCATGTCATACTCTCTCAGCCTCAGAGGATGAATGGCAATGGCAAACCCCACCTGAAGTAACTTGCCAAGAAAACCCCATAATAAGTTCACCTTAGGGTCTTTAATTTCCATAAGTCAGAAACAACTTGAAGGCACACAGCACACACAGAGACCCTGAAACTGAGATCTGTTATTCTTTACAATGACACAGAAAGTGGACTATAGAGAATTTTTTTGTTGTGTGCGACAAGTGTGATATTACAATGGGCAGCCCTGGTGATGTTATTAAGCAGTAACCACAGCTGCAAAGAGTACCCATTAAAACACACATACACAATACCATCTAACCCCTCCATGCAGACACACTTCAAGGCAGTGCTTTCACCATGAGATCCTTTCCCCTTTCCCTGGGAATGAGAGAAGAGGAGTCAGGTCCTGAGATCTAGCAACTAGAATTAGAATTGGGTGATCAGTAGCTCAGTGTTGTCTGAACTGTTGCAGCAGCTCTGCAAGGTTTCTGTCAAGGGTCTTTGCCATACCTATGCTAAGATATCAAGGATGAACTCAGATTGCCTCCATCCAAACCCTCTGATCTAACACTGAACTATTGTCTTTTTCTGTAGAAGGAATGGTCAAAGTATGGCCCTATGATCACATGCAACCCCAACTCTGTTTGCAAAGCCCTCAACTCCTCTAAACTCTTCAGGTCTTTCTCTGGCAAAAAGAAAGGGTGAGTGTCACCTATGGAGGCTTTCAGAAGCAGGTTCTTCATAATTTTTCAAAGCTGTAGACCAATGTTTAAATCACACCACACTAGATCACATGCTGAACTACACAAAGTAAAACCATAGGTCATCTAAATTCAATATGGACTGGCAGATGCTCATAAAAGTTTTATATGAGGATTTCTACCCAGTTCCATCTAGAAAAATGATGGACAAACTGGTATATTTCCAGCCCACATGACTTTTCATGTTTTGACACAGAACTCCATTCCTTTTCCACTGAAGATGGGTGAAAATTTATTCAACTCTTAAAAATAAGAAGTTACCAACACTTCCTAAATATGAAGGGGGGAAACATGAAATTTTAAGAAGTGAAACATTGCAGAAAGTGAAACTTATGGTAATCCTGTGAATTTCACATTGCATTCATCCCCTGTAATTGATGTGATTAGAAAACAACAACAACATCTTTTGATCTCCACTAGAAGCCACTTTGGCCTTATCGTGGGATGATTAGTTGTTACTCGAACAAAATTTTGGACTGATGTTTAAAATACAGATTTTGGTTATCTTGCCTGATAATAAGAGCAAGTCCTATGATCTGGATTGTACCCTGGGCCATCTGCCTTAACATGAATCATGCATTAATGTACACTGAAGTTCAGATTTCACCCTTTCTTCTGGAAATGGGGCTCCACTACTCTTAAATATTGCAACAGAAACAGAAATCCAACATTTTCATCCCTTCTTGCTGCATCCCAAGGTAGAGTTTTCCAATTGCTCCTTATTTTGCCATTACCTACATACCTTAAAAGCACCATATCCTCTCTGATCTTGGAAGCTAAGCAAGAATCAACTGTGGTTAGTGCTTGGTTGGGAGTCCACCAACTATTACCAGGTTCTATCAGCTCTATTTCAGGGGAAGGAACTGGCAAATTCACATCTGAGTATTCCTTACCTAAGAAAACAATGTGAAATTCACAGGGTTACCATAAGTCGACAGGCGACTTGAAGACGCATACAGACAAACACTAAAAAAGTATCTCTTTTGACCCTGATGATAAAAAGGGACTTCCTCTCAGTGGAATGGCTATACAAAGGAGAAAAATGACTTTGTGCTATAATAGCCTCTCATGTTTCTCAGTAAAGTGCATTTGCTAGGAAGTGTTTCATCTAACTTCTGGTTCTGTGGTAA